ATCGACCCTGCCTTGAGTGTGACAGGGGGCGGTGCCCCAACCCCCCAATCGGCCCTACCCTGAGCGTGACTAGGGGTGGCATCGCAACCTCCCGATCCACCCTGCTCTGTGCATGACAGGGGGCGGCACCCCAACTCCCCAATCGGCCCTGCTCTGAGCCCGACCAGGGGCTGCACCTAGGGATTGGGCCTGTCCTCTGCCACCCGGGAGCAGGCCTAAGCCAGCAGGTCATTATCTCCCGAGCGGTCCCAGACTGCAAGAGGGCACAGGCCGGGCTGAGAGACCCCCTCTCCCCGCCGAGTGCACAAATTTTTGTGCACCGGGCCTCTAGTTAATAAATAATAATACAAGAATAAACTCTGTGTTTCACATACAACTATAAGCCTACTTTTGCCCTATGTTGTATATAGTGTAAGGGTGATCAAATATTTTAATAATTTGTTATCTACTTTGTAAAAACTGTTTATTTAAAAAAATAAAACAAATGACCTACTTAATGTCTGGATATAAGAAATCCAAAAAATATGAATTGCCATAGCATCAGGCATTTTTTGAACTACTATTAATTTCTAAAGACCTAAAGAGATATTTCGTAAAAATATAAAAATTGCTCACAAATGAGAGGGTCACTACTTTTTACAACTGAGAAAACCAAGTAAATCATGAAACTAGTTTTCCATAGTAGCTTCCAAAAATTAACAGTTCAATGGACAAGGCAACAAAATCCATCCACCTTAGAAAGGCATCTATATCTGATTAAATAAATATATTCAAGGACATAAGCATGCACATTTTGAAATTCCTTGGCATCATCACTATAAATCATATAGTCTTCAACCAGAAGAGATGTTAAGATATCTGGAGATCAGCTCTAAGTTGTTATTTGTAATGCAAAAGATTAAAAAATGCATCAAAATATTATTAGTATATCTATTAGAGTGGCAAGATTGTGGGTGATGCCGAAACCGGTTTGGCTCAGTGGATAGAGCGTCGGCCTGTGGACTGAAAGGTCCCAGGTTCGATTCCAGTCAAGGGCATGTACCAGGGTTGCGGGCACATCCCCAGTAGGAGATGTGCAGGAGGCAGCTGATCGATGTTTCTCTCTCATCGATGTTTCTAACTCTCTATCTCTCTCCCTTCCTCTCTGTAAAAAATCAATAAAATATATTTTTTTTAAAAAGATTGTGGGTGATTTTAATCTTCCTGTATTTTCCAAATTTTCTGTAATGTAATTGCAGTTTCTCATAATTAAATATGTAAAATATTTTTAAGATACCATCTGATTTAAAAAAGAAGAAACCACCCAGTGTACTCCATGCTTACAGGCAGTTTAAAGATTAAACAATCTTTCACATATAGATATAAAATCCATTTTCAAAGTCCCAAAAAAG